GGGAGACCCGTGGGTTTGCCTTATCTTAAAGCACATATATCTTGGTTTCCATGCAGAGGAAGCAGACCGGCACTGCCCTATCCTGATTCCGCCTGGAAAAGGGAGCAAATGTGCAGGGGGAAGGGGGAGGAACAGAGTTAAGTGGAAGATAACGATACAGGCTGTGAGTCCACCTTGCTTTTGCGTTACTATAACCTTTAGTATTCAACGAGACACCCCTTGGTTTTGAAACCGTACARAGTTTGGTTTTATATGTTTTTTTTTTTGCTCTGTATTCTGCCCCATGGCAATTCTTAAACAGATTTTAGATGCTAGATGTGGTAGACGTGGTGTAAATGTTTATGCTCTAATTGAATCACGGTAAAAATAACCGCTGCTTTCGTAGCCAACGTTGGAAGGCTTCTGAGCGGGAGGTTTTATTTAGACAAAAAGTAAACTTCAGTGAGTCCTTAAAAGTTCCTCTCTTGCCCTCCAAGTGTTGCTTAGCATTAACAGCTTGGTAAGGAGCAGGCTTGCATCATGGGACGATGGCTAAGGAATCTTTTCCGCTCTCGTTTCTTTGAGGGATAAATGCTGAATTTCCATCGTTCTTGAGGAAAAGCTCTGTCCTCGCTCTGGGGGTCTTGGGGAGTTCTGCTCGGGTAAGGCAGGYGGGGTGGGATGCACAGAGCCTGGAATTGGGATTGTGTCCGGCACGGGTGCGTGTCCACCGAAGGTAAGTGCCGCGGATTTGGGGACGGCAGCGGATGTGACTGTGGAACGGAGCTGGATGGGGTGCCATGAGACCGAGCGCCGGGCAGCTGCTTGGGGCTGCTGCAGAACCCCACCGCTCTAGGAGCGACAACAGTCCCCGGCGGGAGACTCCCTCATTTTCAGGCTCCTCTGGGCTTTTCCTAAGGCCTGAAGTGAAGGGGCTGGCACGGCCGAGCGGCCACGGGAAGGCTCCAAACTGCTGTATTRGATGGAGGGAAACCTGCCCCGCGAGGAACGGCTCCCGGGCTGCCCGGTGCTTCCTCGCGTGGGACCGGTCCCCGGCGGCCGTGTCGCCGTGGGTGGCTCTGCTGTGCTTGCCGGCACCGCTAGGTGCCTCTCGGCTTTTGCGAGCGGCGCCGCGGAGGCTCCCGGCGGCGGGCGCCCGGCGAGATGCTCTTGTGTTTCTTGTTCTTTCCACCTACCTCTGCTGTGGCTCTCCCTCTCCCAGAGGCTCGCTCTGACCGTAAGGGTAGGAGCGCTAATTTGTGCATATGGTGCGGGAATATGGAATTGTTTAAGGCAGCGCTGTCAGCGGCAGCGCTCGACGTGTCAAGAGGCGCATGCCAGAGATGCGCAGGCAAATCTTACAAGTGTAAAACCAGCCATCCTTCTGGTGCTGCTCGTGTAGCCGGCCCGTGCCGGGAGCGCGAGGCGGCTGATTTATTTGCCGCCGCATGTGGCTGYCAGAATCAATGGCTCAAAATGATTTCTAGACTTGCTCAGGCTGTTCTTGGCTCTGCGAGATCACGTTTGGGGCTATAAAGTTGGGCTSCTTCTTAGCCTCTTCCTGTCTCCGTGGCCGGGCAGGTGCCGGTCGCCTCGAGGCCGCTGCTCGTGTTTATTGCCCGCTCCTCATGCTCAGCTGCAGGTTGCTCGGGGGCAGAGGGGACCAGGAGCATCCTCATCGTGTCCCTGTCCTGGCAGCTCTGCGGGACAGCGGACGGGACCTTCATGGTTAATGGTTCCTCAAGCTATCGCYGAGCGCCCATGAGCGCGACCCTTCCCCATGAGCCGCCCTGGCCGCTTTGGTGCTCTCCGTTCGGCGGCTAAGCAGCAATTCCCGCTTATTCCTTCCTGTGAGGATGCAGGCAGCTCCGTGATGGAGCCGGTCATCGGGATCCCGTTCTCGCGCCGTGTCCAGGGACGGCGTGTTCCGAGCGGGGCTGCACGTGGGAGCGCCCGGCGGTGGCAGGGACCTCGACGTGCTCCGCTGTGTCACCCGCGGCGCTTTTCTGTCCCGTGCTCCGCTGCTGCGCTCGGCCAGGCCAGCCGGCCTCTGACAGGCGGCCAGTTTTATTAGTGCTTTTAGCAGAGACCAGGATCCCACCTCCTTTGGCTCGAGAACAACCTCCCGGCTGAAGTCTGGGAGCTGCAGATATTTGTGTGCGTCTACTGGGCCCTGTGTGAGGCCAGCTCGGGAAAAAAAAAAGAAAGGCAAGAAAGAAAAACAGAGATTTGGAAATGCATCTGGGACCCCTCGGGGGACAAAAGAATAACGCCTAAAGAAAACAGTTGAACACTTAAGGAAAACATCTTGCTTTCATTTGCTGCCTTACCTTTGGGTTATGGGGATTCCCTTCATTGCAGCTTGGGATGAGTAGGACGCAGGTAGGCAAGGAAGAAGGGGATCAGTGGGACCAGGTTCAAAAAAGAAATGAAGGAAAGGAAAAATATTCCAAGAGAATTGCAAGGATATTCCAATAATATTTTCCCTTGATTCCTGTGAATGTGGCTTTAAATATTGCTTTCATTAAATGCACGGCTGCAGTTGGATGGGGTGGGAGACGATCTTCCAAGGCCTCGATCCCCAGGCCATGAGAGGGGCACCACAAAGCCCTCGCGTTAAATATTCTTGAATTTTGAGGTTGAAGTATAAAAGGTGGAAGGCTAGACTTTTAAACTGTGTCTGACTCTTCACCATTCAGCTTCAGACATTTTATAGAAACCTTTATTATTATTTTTTTCTCCAGAAGATATTACTCCCTCTAAAACTCGAAGCCATTTCTAATGTCTCTATTTCAGCACTCCAGATTGCTACTCGCTTCTAAATAGAATTATTAGTCTTGGACTTTTTACTCGTATTTATTGCTTCTGATGAAGGAGAAGGTGTCAGGAGAGGAAACCGAGTGGAGGCAGAGGAGAAAATTTAGCAGAAATTAAAAGAAGGTAGAACAGGCAGCAAAGACATTGATGATTTTTTTTTTTTTTTTTCCCTCCTATTTTTCATTTTCCTTAAGGATGATTGTGCTTCTCTGAAGGCTGCCTCCTCTATTTGACATGTTAATATTTGATCGGTGGCTGATGGCTGAGGGCTCCCATTGCTGCTGGTTTGGCCGGGGAAGCGACGGCAAGCGCTGGTTTTTGTGGGATGCTGCAGGGCACCTAAGGAGGGTCACGGGGCAGGTATTTGAAGGCTCCTTGCCTGGCACCAGTGAAGCCTCCTCGCCCCCAAACTTCGGGGCTCCCTGTTGTGTTGAGGAACCCCCGTCTGTGACGCGTGGGGTCGGGAGCATCATCCAGAGGGGTCTGCGAAGCGGCCACCTCCGCGGTGCTGCCCTGGCCATCCTGCCCCAGCGTAATACTTGTTAGCGTGAGGTGCTGAGGACTCATCTCCATCGCTGGAGCATGTGATAGCTCGAGGAGCTGCAATATTACAGTAACCATGGCGACCAGTGACTTATCTGAGGGAGTTTGACTTTTGTTTTGATTTTAAGTGTCTTAATTGTAGTTTAAAAATCAGAATCGGAATGTGTTTTTTACTTGGGCGTGAAACCAAAGGCATTAAATGATTTGCATTATTAAAATACCTACAATACCACCTTGGAAAGATTCTTGGAGAAGGCCCTTAATATTCATCCCGTAGGTTCTAAATAAAGTTACTCCACAGCTTTCTGCTAATTCTGCTGCCCTTGCTGTAATTYGTTTTCTTCCTGCACACTTGAGTGCTCAAACAGGGCCCTTTTGTGATCCAAAGGCCTTTGTTTATCCAAGGAAAAGTGCATGCATCCAGGGAAAAACAGGGGCATCCCATGCTTTACACGCAGGCTCCTTTTCCTCCATCCTGTTCGGTGCCTCCGCCACAGGCTTCTACCTTTAGGGCCCGTGTTTGCCGTCGAGGCCGCCCCTTGGAAAGCTGCCTTGCTTCGGAATCCTGCCAAGCCCCTGGAGCGTCTCCTGGATGAGAAACTGTCGAGCGCCGCCTGCCCAGAGAGAGAGAAAACGGGGGTGGCTGTTGCTGGGGATGCTCAACTGGGATGCTGAGAGCCTTGGCAGCGCCAGGACTATCCGTCCTTGCGAGGAAGACTATGGTACAGAGGAGGAGTAGCAGGAGGTCAGGCGCTTGTGCTGCCAAGTGTCCCTCCCGCTCCCTCCGACGGCTGCACTTRGAATCCAGACGGGTTCTAAGTCCCCCCAGCGCGTGCGCAAGTTGCAAACAAGCTGAAATAGGAACTCATGCTCGGTAAGCTTTTAATTCCCGCTTTGATGTTTTTAATCATCAGCGAAGATTTGGTGGAAATGATTCCTTAGCTGGAAGCACTTGGGCTCTGCGTGGTGGAGGCGTCAGGGGCTGGTGGGGATGATGCCGAGGTCGCAGCATTCGGGATGCAGGTCTCCTTGGGCCCTCTCCTGAGCTCAGCTGAACCCGTGCCTCAATTTGGCCTTCACTGCTTGGAGAAGAATTGATGCCGCTTGGCGTGAGCGGCCCTGCTGCGTTTGATTCCATACCTGTAACACGGGAGCGAGTTCCTTTGGTTCTGCTGGGACTCACGATGCCCGACCCAAACCTGCTGCTCGTGCAAACAGGTCTCTCCCAGAGCAGAAGTCCCTCACGCACCCTGCTCCTGTCCTCCATCCGCTTTACGTTTCCCCCTGCATTATCAGGAGTGGCTGTAGGGAGTTTGGCAACGCGATGACTATTTGTGCGGCCTCGTCCTGAGCGGCTCCGCAGGGGAGCGCGGCTCCCGTATCCGTGTCCGCAGTCGCGGAGCCAGGCTGCCGTCTCCACGGGCTGGTGAGCATCCCAGGTTTCCCCATGCTTGCCTCCTTGGAAGGAAGGAAGCTGCCACGCGGTAAGTCGGGCCAGCAATGAGCCCTGAGCGCTGCTGCTTATTGCTGGAGAGCTGCTTGTGTCCCTGGTTTTGTTATCCCATCCCCTGACTCTTTCCAACCTGATCTGCTTCCCGATGGGCTCTCCTTGGCCCCGAGCCCTTTTCCTTCAGCCTTTACAAGCATCGTCCCCCTGAGCGATGGGGCTGCCCCGGGCCGTGCTCCTGGCCATGCTCATGCAGCTGGGCGAGCAGCGACGCTCCGCGCGCACCTGCAGCGGGTGCTTTATACGAGCAGCTTTCCAGCGAGCTGTATGGGATTTTTGTGTCAAGCTCTTGCTCTTCTACAGAATATTTCCGAGGCCAAATTGCGGGTTGTTTCTGGAAATCCTCCTCCGAGCACTGGTTCCCGTGCATGTTGTTTTCCTCCCGCAAAGTGGTATGTTGAAAAGTTCAGAGCTCTGTTCGAGGTGTAAATGGATCCCTACGATGCCCATGTGAGCGGCCCCATCTTTGCTCGCCCCATCGTGCCTYGCTCGGGGTGCCGGGAGCAAAACTGCTCTTTCAGAGGGGCACAGATAGAGCCTCCAGCAGCCCCRTCCGCTTGTGCGGGAGCGTTTCGGCTGTTCCTGGCACCGGGAGGGCGGTCGAGGCCGAGGGAGTCTYGCAAGGCAGCGGCGCCGAGGGAGAGCCTTTGGGAAAGCCAAGGAAATATTTACACTGGGAGGAGACTGTTTACAGGGCCGGGCGAGCAGCTGACGTTGTTTAGAGCGGCCAGGGCTGTGCAATATTTTGCTTTCGCCCTCCTCAGGAGGGTCAGGCCTAAGGAAAGGATCAAATAGGGTCAGCAGGGCTGTGCTTGGGGCGTGCCAAATATCCAGCAGCTGCAGACGGGGTTGGTAGCGAGAAGAAAAAGCAACTGCAATTCAGTCTCATGCTTGAAGTCAAGGTCAGAGTGGACTCGGGTAGACTGGTGGGGACGGCAGCATTTGGGGAAGTCTTGGCCCCGTTTGCTAACGGTTGGATGGTTACTGAAGCCCTTGTGTTCTGYGGTGTTGGCAGGTTTCAGTAATAAGAAAATGTGATTTAAAATTTTGGAAGTGTCTTCTGTGCTGGGAGAAGGGGATGAAATCAAGGTACCGATGCTGCGAGGTCCCGTGTGGCTRTTGAGCTGGGAATTTGCTTTCAAACCGCTCCATGGCAAAGCATCTTCCCCAGCCCACTCTGTAGGTAAACCACATATTGTTTTAATTTAAACCCGGCCTGTCTCTCTTGTTCTGTTTTTAGCATGGCTGACAAGAACAGCACCCTGAAATGCACGTTCTCTGCTCCTGGCCACAGCACCACTCTGCTGCAGGGACTGGCCTCGCTCCGAGCCCAGGCTCAGCTGCTTGATGTCATCCTCACTATAAATAATGAAGTGTTTCAGGTTCATAAAGTTGTCTTGGCCGCCTGCAGTGACTATTTCAGGTGAGAATCTGATAGGGAAGCAGAAGCAGGCATTTTTCCCTTGCTGTTGATGTGTTTTTCCCCTTCATTCCCTTCCCTACATTCTCTCCTTCCTCTTCTAGGGGAAAAAGCCTTTGGAGGCCCTGCGGCCACCCAAAGCCGCGGGCCTGGAGCCCGTCCTCCCGCACGCAGATGAGCTGGTTCTGCTGCAGCAGCTGGGCAAAGCCCCATGCTCCAGGCTCGACCCTTCCCAGGCAGCCTTAGTAGCTGCTCTGCCTGCTGAAGGAAACGGGCTGCTGCCTCCGAGCTGCTTCAATGGCGAGGTGGCAGCGAGGGCTCCAAAGTGAGTCATCGCCCTGAAGGATGGTGCCCACTGGAAATCACAGCAATGCTGTTTTTAAATACCACTGGTCTGTGTGTAATGCTTATTGTCCTGCCTTGTGGGTGTATTCTCCGGACGCCTGGGAGATGGGGAGGAATTGCCCGTGTTGTGTCAGCAGGACACAGAGATGAGTTTCCTTAGCCAAATTAATGCAGAACGAGCCAAGCGCAGAGCCAGAATTCAGCTGAGTACAACCCTTAATCCATTCTGTCTTTCAAACCCTCATTGCAGCTTCTCTTTGACTTGCAGTTACCTCTTTCTTGAGCCATAGAAGGATCTTTCCTGGCAATACCCAGAGCAATTTCCACTGATGGACGTGCTGAGGGCAAGGGAGGGATATAGGGGGGAGCACGAGCTGGTTAATGACCTAGATGTCAAGCCCTGAAAAGTAGGGGTGCAGAAGGCCTCACCAGAAGGCCTCATCTACAGGGGTCTTCTCCATCACCTGAGCACATTAACTTGCTGAGCACGTAACCAGGACCAGGGGACTTCAGCATGGGCATCTCTCCATGTTTCTTTCTACCATTTCTTCATCTGCTGGTGGTATCTACCGCACACTTGTATTTTCAAGGCTCTTCAAGGGGCTTTCTCTGTTCTCACTCCTGGTAACAAGAGCTTGGGAGGCTTGTCGCTCTTCCTAACAGGCATGCAATTAATGATGGATTATTTGATCTTCCACCAAATGCTAATAGCACTATTTGTATTCAGAAACGCTGTGTGCAATGCCACTGCTAGTGTGTTTTCACTGTCGAAATATAATTGCTGAGTAGGTTTCTTGCTCTAACTTCTGTTGTGTTAAGGAAGGTTGTCCTGGGGAACAATGGCAGAATAATCCAGCTATTGAAAATAGTCTGTTTTTATGCACAAGGAGGGAGGGAAAAGAGTGGAATAGAGGCATTTATATAATCAGCATTTTAGAACCATAACACTTTTTAAAGGGATTGCATTCTGCGTGATGATTTGCCCTCATCCTAGCAACAATAGTGCTTCTTGTTGCCACTGCACGTTCAGCTCCGCAGCTAATGCATGAATTCACATATGTCCCCGTGTCCCCAGGGGCCAGGGCTCAGGGCCGCACGCTGTTCTGTGCCATGGGATACGCAGGGGGGTTTTAGCAGGCTGCTCTCATCTGCTCTGTGGACGAATAATTCCTGCAACCAGCATTGCTGGTCACTCGGCTGTGGAAAGCTGATTCCATATGCAGATATTTCCCTATTTAGGTCATTTAGCTTCAGTTTCTGCTGGACTGCAGCAGTTCTTTGAGCATGGTTTGGACAGGAAACTTGGAACTCCTGTCTCCTGACAGCATTCCCAAGCTATTCCTTTCTTCCTGTGTCGATGCAGAAGGGGTTCAGCATTTCCTCTGAGTATCGTGCACCTTGGAGTCCCTGCAGCTTCCTAGAGCCACTCTAATGGGGTCGTACATCCCAGTGAGCCAAATTTTCCCTTTTTCGTGCTTGAAGAGTATCCATGTTGGAAAAATGGCCCCAAATGTGCTCAGTTTAAAAGGTTTTATCGTATTGCAGCCTTGCTAGTTCTGCTGTGGCCTTTGTGCAGCGGCATTGCCTGGCCAAAGCGCTTGTCACAGCTCTTCCAGCAACCTGTTTCGACTTTGTTTTCCCCAGAACTGCTCTGTGCTACTTGTTGAGTAGCATAAACAGCACAAACCTTTGGCCCCGAGCTACCTCTATGTAACAAAACTGCTGAAATTTAATGTAAGCATATTAAGAAAAAAAAAAATGCGGTTTTATCCCCATCACACTCACAGGCCCTGTATCTGGGAAGCGCAGTGGGGCTCCAGGAGAGCGCTTTATGGGATGGCTGTGCACAGCCCTTGGCTTGGTATGTGCTTCCTGTGGAATTTCGGAGCCTCCCAAGGAGGCCATCTAGGACCTAAGCTCTGCCTGGCCTGGTCAACCGATGTGCTTGCAGCTGTGCCGCAGGAGGAGAATCTTTTTCTTATTAGGATTGTTTTAATTGCCTGCAAGCCCCCTGCTGTTGTACTGCAACATAACAGATGCTTTCTGAAGTGGTTGCAGCCCATGTTTTCTTCAGGTGTGGGGAGGGAGCCTTGGAGGAGGTTTTGTTCTGCTTACCAGAGCTCCTCAAAAGCCCTGCCTGCACCTGCAGCGTTTAAGCCGTGTAATCACTAGGGTGCAGCGCAACGGGCTYGCGGAGACCCTCGGGATCGCTGACCTTCCCAACACACGTGTCTCCCCAAAGTGTGTTCTTTCCCTGTGCTCCCAACTCCTGCATGCTTAAAAATCAGGTATTTAGGGTTATGGGTAACAGATCTGTTGCAGATCCCTTTGCTGATCCATTTGCTGGTAAGTTTGTGAATTCGCTGGCCCAGATTCCTGTGCTTCCAGCTCATATAGTCCTGCCTATTTCTTGGAGCGTTGTCCTATGGACCGCTCTTATTTATGCTGTCAGCAACTGCAGGATTGAAAAGCTTAACTTTTCTGGATGTTCTCCCTCAATGCAATTTTGTGCAAGCTTTATATAAGTAACTCTTTATTTCTGTTRGCTTTTAAGGCTTTCACCTTTTCATTTTTTTTTCCCCCTCTCAACTCCCTCATTCTCCCCCAAAGAATCAATGTGCTGAAAAGCAACAAAAACACCTTGAACTGATGCATCATTTACACAGGTTTAAGAGAGAGGGAAATGTTTGTTTGTGTTCTTGACCTTCAGGGCGATGTTCACAGGAGGCATGAGAGAAGCCAGCCAAGATGTGATCGAACTGAAAGGTGTCTCTGCAAAAGGCCTGAAGCACATTATAGACTTTGCCTACAGCGCTGAGGTGACTCTCGATCTTGACTGCATTCAGGATGTGCTGGGAGCCGCCGTCTTCCTGCAGATGGTGCCTGTCGTGGAGCTCTGTGAGGAGTTCCTCAAGTCTGCCATGAGCGTGGAGACGTGCCTCAACATCGGGCAGATGGCCACCACCTTCAGCCTCGCCTCCTTGAAGGAGTCGGTGGATGCGTTCACCTTCAGGCACTTCCTGCAGATCTCCGAGGAGGAGGATTTCCTCCACCTGCCCCTCGAGCGCCTCGTTTTCTTCCTGCAGAGCAATAAGCTCAAAAGCTGCAGCGAAATCGATCTGTTCCGCGCTGCCGTGCGCTGGCTGCAGTACGAGCCGGGCCGCCGCGCCAGCGCCAGCCAGGTGCTCTGCCACATCCGCTTCCCGCTCATGAAGTCCTCRGAGCTGGTGGACAGCGTGCAGACCTTGGACATCATGGTGGAAGACGTCTTGTGCCGGCAGTACCTGCTGGAGGCCTTCAACTACCAGATCCTGCCCTTCCGCCAGCACGAGATGCAGTCGCCTCGCACGGCCATCCGCTCGGACGTGCTGTCCCTCGTCACCTTTGGGGGCACCCCCTACACRGACAATGACCGCACCGTGAGCTGCAAGGTGTATTACCTGCCCGACGCCRGTGGGCGCCAGTTCAAGGAGCTCACGGAGATGGAGGTGGGCAGCAGCCACTCGTGCGTGGCCGTGCTCGACAACTTCGTCTACATCGTGGGAGGGCAGCACCTGCAGTACCGGAGCGGCGAGGGCGCCGTCGACATCTGCTACCGCTACGACCCGCACTTGAACCAGTGGCTGCGCATCCAGGCCATGCAGGAGAGCAGGATTCAGTTCCAGCTGAACGTCCTGCGCGGGATGGTCTACGCCACCGGCGGCAGGAACCGCTCCGGCAGCTTGGCCTCCGTGGAGAAGTACTGCCCCAAGAGCAACGAGTGGACTTACGTGTGCTCCCTGAAGCGCAGGACGTGGGGACACGCCGGAGCCACGGTGGGAGACAAGCTCTACATATCAGGAGGCTACGGGATATCCGTGGAGGACAAGAAAGCCCTGCACTGCTATGACCCTGCAGCGGATCAGTGGGAGTTTAAGACCCCGATGAACGAGCCCAGGGTCCTGCACGCCATGGTCAGCGCCAACGGCAGGATTTACGCTCTAGGAGGCCGCATGGACCAYGTGGACCGGTGTTTTGACGTCCTGGCCGTGGAGTACTACGTGCCTGAAACGGACCAGTGGACAACCGTGAGCCCCATGCGCGCAGGGCAGTCGGAAGCCGGCTGTTGCTTGCTGGAGAAAAAGATTTATATTGTAGGAGGCTACAACTGGCACCTGAACAATGTCACGAGCATTGTGCAGGTCTATAACACGGAGACTGACGAATGGGAAAGGGACCTGCATTTCCCCGAGTCTTTTGCTGGCATAGCCTGCGCTCCCGTCATCCTGCCGCAGGTGACAACGCAGAGGTAGTCGCGGGTGYCCGTGCAGGGACGCGGGCTCCCCTCCTCTGTGCAAATGGTGGGGTGCATCTTGTGGGGGCGGGAGGGAGAAAGATCCCTGGCGCTCCCTCCTCCACAACAGCCCTCCTCCTCCTCCTCCTTCATAGTGTTCTGGCAAGCGTGCTCCATCAGAAGCACTTGTCAGCTAGTTAGACTTAACAGATGTTACAGCTGGAAAAAGCATTTTATTTTATTTTATTTTATTTTATTTTATTTTATTTTATTTTATTTTATTTTATTTTATTTTATTTTATTTTATTTTATTTTATTTTATTTTATTTTATTTTATTTTATTTTATTTTATTTTATTTTTTGGTGGGGGAGTGAAGTTTGCCAACTTTCCATCATTTTAACAACATTATGTCTTGCAAACATTGACAGCTCAGGAGTAACTCAGTACTGTGGTATGTTTAAAGGAGTTCGATTAGATCTTTTTTTTTTTTTAATTAATAGTTCCGAGAATCACTGTATGTTGATTTGTTATTTCTTTTTCAACCAACAAAAACCAAAATCTGTATAACATACTGACCTCCAGAAGCAATAACGGGACAATGGGAGCGAGGAAAGCTCAGGTGCCTGGTTTCTGAAGGCAGGTGCTTTCTTTTCAAAGATTTTTGGGTTTGTTTTTTCACTCTCCTTTTCCTGGAAGRGGAATACTCATCCCTGCCCATCTCTGGGCTGTGTTGGTTCTTTGTGCTTCAGATTACTTTGCAGTTTCAAATCACTTCCACACWCCCTCCAGGTATTAGCATGATAGTCCAGTCTAGAAACTCCCTTAATTGGGACACCCGAAGTTTGCACCAATAAAGCCATTTGGTAGCTTGATTATGTATAAACGGGCATGATTTTTATAACTGCCAATCATTTGCTTGTCTTACCTGGCAATAAGAGCTCTGTTCACGTGTGCCCAAGCGAGAGCCGCTGCGGGTTCCCTGGACTTGTCCATCCGAATCTTCTCCCTGCAGCAAAGGGGCTGGGTGCTGCTTGTCCAGGGCCTTGAAGGTTTTCTCCCTTGGCCTATAAATAAGATAGTTGGTACCACGATATGATGGAAGTCAAAGTGACRTGGGTTTTGTTGCCATTGAGCACTTAAATGAGCAGATTACTCTTCTGTGTGTGCTGAACGCACATTTTATGCTATTTCTTAAGCTTTTCCTCTAGGTCATTTTTCCTACTGAATTTGGTTGATCAGTGAATTGAAGATATCTCCTTTTTACCAGATATTCTGTTTCAAGGACTTTGTTTTGTATCTCTAACTCTGATTTTGAGTATGCAGCCCCCTTTTGTAGAGAAACTGTTGCATTCTCTGTTAAATAAATAAGGTGCTGCAACCTTTAGAGACAATATGTAATATGTTTTGCTAATGAATCATTGATCAGGTTTATTTAAAGCATGAACTCCATACCTCAAATTCACTTAAAGATCTTTTTCTCTGATAACTGAATCAAAGTAACGTTGAATATGATAGAGTGAGGACATGTGCTTCTCAGTTAAGCTTGGCATCTGAATTTTAGCTAAAAGGATACGGAGTTTTATCCGTGTATCTCTCTGCTTGCTGGTTTGCCAATAATAAATGAATGACGAATCCTTGTTTTGGAGCAGTGTGTAAATTTACCCCATTGCAATTAATTTACCCCATTCTCTCTTCATTTGATCTGGCGTGGAAGCTAGAAACACTGCAGAACAGCCTTGGCAGATATCAAATGCATTTTGGACAGAGGAGATTTTACTCAGTACAGGCTTCAAAGTTGCAAAATAATGGATTTTTAAATATAAATGCTTGCTTATGTTTATGGAAGGAGTGTTTTTTTTCAAGGTGAATAGCAAATGGAGAGTTATTCGCTTCTCTTTTTGCCAATAGGRTTCAGCTTTGTGTGAGTATGCCAGTCTCCCATTGTTGCCTCCCCAAAGTGCTCAGTATTCTTCAGTTTTCTTCCCTCTTTTACCCAAATCTTCCTACCAATAGTCTTTCTATGGCAGCAATTGATGGTCTGGGATCTTCTCTAATGATGGAGGATTTTCTGAAGTGCTCACAAGCCATTCTGAACCCATGCTGTGACCACATTAGCAACTCTTCCTAAGGAAACTGTTTTAATTTTCACTTCGAGCTTCTAAGGTATGTGTATGGGGAGGGGGGGAGGAAGAAAAAAATCCTTGAAAAGTTGTATTTGAGTTTTACTTTTAATGTCAACCTTGCAAAAACGGACTTGACCTCTGTATTGGTTTGTCTTGGAGTGGTGGTTGTGTAGACAGGAGGATTCCCAAAGCCATTCTGTTAAGTGCAGCTCGATAAACACCGAGCTCGGATCCGGCCTTCCCACTCCCCGGCATGGCGGGATGGGTGCTGGGAAGAGCCTTCCGGACTCTCTTGCTGAGACTTGGGACAGAGCACTGCTGTGCACCATCCCTCTTTGTTAAAGGAATGTGCTTTTTATAGAAATAAAAATGATTATTTTTCATAATGTTAGCTAGAAATATTCTAGCTGTTCTTAGTTTAGCAGAGACTGGCTAAAATATTTGTGAAAATGCATGGCATCCATATGGATAATAAAGTTTTACTCCTGTAAAGCATGCCTCTGAGCTGTTATGTACATAGGCTGCGAATTATTCTGAAAATAAACCAATCTGACCGTTTTCTTGTATTGAAACAACCTGATGCAGAGGGGAGGGTATTTATGTGAACATTGAAGTGATCCTGAATATTGATTTTGCTGTGGTGGGATGCAGAGCTTAGTACTCCTGATTCAGCTGGAAAAACGCTCCATGGGATGCGCTGTGTGAAACGCAACCGGCCGGGGCTCCTCTTTTCTTTTAAGAATGAACAAAGCCGAATAAATGTTTGATTGCACTCGCAGGCATTTATTAGTCTCAGAGCAGCAATAAACGTTATGGGGGTAAACCTGATTTGGTACATTTTAAAATACCCTTGAACAGATGGGGAACAGTAAAAGCCCAGCATCATTAGCTCTCGGTATTTGCGTGTCCCCTTGGGGACTCCTGTCACGGCCGGCATAACAGCTTCTGTCTTCTCTGATGTTTTATGGGCCTGAAATTGTACTTAAAACTATAAAGGAGGAGAGCACTAGAGCTCTTGGCAGGGCGCAGACTAGCGAGAGATGGGGAACGGCTGCGTCTGATTAACGGTGTCGCTGACCCTTTTCCGAGGGGTCTGCTGCTCAACATCGCACTGTCACTCCTGCCTATCCGAGAACCTCCCTGCCTCTCGTCCTGATGTCTCTGAAGTTTACGGGTGGCAGGCATCCTTGTTTCTTTGATTTAGGGTGAATGGAGCCACTTTCGCTAAGCTGCGGGCTCCCCATGCGCCGCTGCAGCGGCTCCGGAGCCCGGCACAGCTCCGCAGACGCCCGGGCTGTCGCGTCTGCCACAACGCCCCGAGCTGCTGAAATGCTGCAAACTGCAGGGACGTTCATCATGCTGCAATTACCGAAGCCAGGCTACTGTCAAAATAAATAAAACATGTTCCCCAACGCAACTCTAATTATGATTTTTAGCCAGTTGTGTAATGTGCAGAACTTTTATTTACCATCAATCTTCCAGTTGCTTGCACAAATGAATGAGGTTTCATCACTTGTGACTTGAGGAGCAGGGCAAGTTAGTGGGACTGAGCAGATTTACAGCTCAGCGGCGGCGTGTTGGGCGCGTGAGGACGCAGAGCCGCTAGCACTGCCTTCCTCGAAGTCCCTGCCATCTTGAGCTTCACCTGGGAGCGCGTACAAATACATCTATCTTTCCCTTAATATTATTTTTTTTTTTACAGAGACAGCTTGGATTCTGCTATGCATTGAATACTGAGTAGGCACAGGATCATCCCACGGACTCCTGAACCATTTTTTCTCCTTCCAAATTAATAAGAGAATTTCAGTAATGCAAGGTTGGTGCTTTTGAGTTGAGTATTTCAACTGTTGGGGGCTTTTTGGAGAGGTCTTAAAAGTTTATTTATGGGGACAGTTGTGATTTCAGCTGCTGCAACCCTGAATGCACTGTGCAATGATGGAGACCCTGCCTGGCCTTTCTGCTGGGCAGAGGCAGCTGCTGCTTTAGGTGTGCAACCTGAAATTACCCTCAGTCTGTAAAACTAARGCTGAAAAATCAGTACAGAGCAATGGCAGGGGAGGCTTATATTAGTGTGTGCAGTTTGCAGTGGAAAATAGAAAAGCTGCTGTGGCAAGAGGTATTAGGAAGGTTTTATAAGCTGTAGAGAGCAAATCAAGGGTTCTTGGCTTGGTCCCTGAGGCTTYGCAGTCACTCTTTCACACCCAGGCTCATGTCATGTAATTAGCTGAAAGTGTTTTATATGGCTTCTTAGAAAAATTAAAAAAAAAAACTCCTTTTTCTTCTCTTGTTTATGCAGGCCACCAGCCAGTCTGCTTCTGGCTACACTGCTTTGTATCTGGAGTAATTCCTTTGAAGTCACTGGACTTGCACTAGATTAACACAGGAGTACCTAGAGGAGAATTTATCCTTTCAGCTGATTTGGTTTTGATCTCTATCTTCCCGCCACATTGCTTTGAACATGTACTGGGAAGTACTGTACACGTGGTTATCTGATGTTTCTTCTCAGGCTGCTAATCCCTGTGTCCCGACAAAGTTTGCAATCATTYCCTTTATATTCGTGCTCGTTTTTCCTCCTTGCTGTGGCCTGGGGTCCTGTTGAAACACGCGATCCTCATCGTGGATGCAGACGTCAAGCGTTAGTGCCATAAGGACAGTGGTTTACAAGTGGATTTAGAAAGCAGTGTATGAAGCTCGCTGAGGTTTGAAGAGAGACGTTTGTCCTGTGGTGCAGCTAGTGTGTCCGTATCTTAATTTGCTTGTGTCACCTCTCTCATGACAAAAACGTGAGCCTGCCATTCCTTAGAAAGCAGAGGAAAGCATGGGAGAGGAGCAGGTTTAGTCCTGGGTGAGTGGGGACGAGCTGTGTTGTCTGCCCTCGACTTGTGCGGGCTGGGGCACTTGTCCTGTGCTGGTAGCAACAGCCTCTACTTCATGGAGGGCTCTGCTGTGTTTGAGGGTCTCTTTTT